CTTAACCCCACTGCCTTCTAAAAAAAAAAAAGAGCTAAGCCAGTATAAATATTCCCTTAAACCTAAATTACTTATAGATTTAGTAAATGAATATTTTAACAAGATTTAGTATGTTTTTAATAATGTAGTTGGTGGAACTGTGAATTAATCCAACCATTTTAGAAAGCGATCTGGAATTATGCCCAAAGAGTTATTAAACTACCTATACCCTTCAACCCAGCAACCCCACTACTAGATCTATTTCCAAAGATGGTTAGGGAAAAAGGAAAAAAAACCTATATGTTTTAAAATATTTGTATTATCTCTTTGTGGTGGCAAAGAACTGGAAACTGCAGAGATGCCCATCAATTAGGGAGCAGCTGAACGAGTTATGGTATATGATTGTGATGGAATACTACTATGCTGTAAGAAATGATGAGCTCACTGATTTTTGAAAAATGTGAATAGACTTGCATGAAATAATGAAAAACCAAATGAGCAGAACCAAGAGATCATTGTGTATAGTAACAAAAATATTGTTTTAAGAACAACTTTGAGTGACTACATTTTTTTGGCTATTATAAATACTCAAATTAACTACAAAAGACCTATGAAGGAAGATGCTGTCCACCTCCAGAGAAAGAACTGATAAATAGAAGTATGCATAGAATGATTTTACATATATATATATATACACATATTTGTGTCTCATGGTAGGTATCTTGAGGCCAAGGGGGTAGGAGAGGGAAGGAAGAAAATAAAAGAAAAAAAAGAAAGTTAACCAGATAACATTATTATATATTTAAAAGGAATAGCAAGTTGTACATAATAGATTTGCAATTTTATGTGCAATCATCTTTTTTTCTACTAGATTATAGAAATACTTGTTTAATTTCATAAATTAAAAATATTTTTAAAAAAATCAATAATAAGTTAGAATAGGGAATATATCTTTAGAGAAATAATATACTCATAGAATTAAGCTTAGCTATCACAGGACTCTTTACTAAAGGTCAGATTGCACTTTTCAGACACTTGGAAGGTGGAGGGTTGACTCAGCTCACCACAAGTTCCTTTTTTAGTAAATTAGTTCTTCTTTTTCAGTGAGCATAATGGACCTCTAGCAGAAACCCTTAAAGGACTACTGAAGGAGACTTATCAAAAAAATTCACAGAATGATAGACATGTGTTCTAAACCAATGAAATATTGGGTCTAGTGGTTATCCCACCCTAAAAACATCCTGTTTTGCCCCCAACAGGCCCAGCAGTGGAATATTGCAAATCTACCTACTTCTCTGTAAATCCTATGAATCAATCTGATGAATGTTTCCTTTTTTTTTTCTTTTTGGTTATAAAGATTAGCTGTATAAATCTGTGAAGCTGTCACTAATCACTAAGGGATTAGTTGACCTGATTAAGTGGTAACTTGCTAGCCTTGCTCTTAAATAATTTTCTCCCAGAAGTAATAAACCTCAGAAATTTTCTCTTTTAGATATAAATTTAGCAAGTAGATGTTACAGAGAGGCCTGAATTCGTTCAATATAAAGAAAATCTTCCTTGGTATTAATATTAATGATCCTCAAACCAGTATTTCTATCCCTAATTTCTCTCCTAAACTCCATTCCTGCATTACAAATTGCTTGATAGATGTCTTTACTTAGATTTCCTATAGGCATGTCAAGCTCAATATACCCAAAACAGAACTTAACTATATTTTCCCAAAAATCTATCTCTCCTTCAAACTTTCCTATGTCTATGGAGAGCACCACCATGCTACCAGTCACCCAGGTTCACAACCTCAGCACCATCTTTTACTCTTCCTCTGTCCTTTCCTCCCCACACCCAGTCAGTTGCCAAATTTTCTTGTTCCTACCTTCATAACATCTCTTGCATCTATTCCCTTCTTTCCACTCACATAGCCTCTGCCTTGATTTAGTCCCTAGTCATTTCTCACTATTGCAATAACTTCCTTATTGGTCTCTTTGCATCCAGTCTCTTTCCCCTTCAATCTATCCTCCACATTGCTACCGAATTAATATTCCTAAAGCACAGAATTGACTGTATTACACCCCTGTTCAAACATCTTCAGTGCCTACCTATTGCTCTCTGATAGTCTATGTGTCCAGAGTGCTAGCACAGGACCCTTACTCATAGTTGGAATTTAATAAATGTTAGTGAAATGAATTGAGTTGCCTCCAGGATTGTTGAGTTCTCTAGCACTGAAAGTGGAAAAACTGAGACTATATGATTATTTGTTGACAATGCTTTGGATAGGAGGTAAACGTGTAATCTAAGATTCGACTAAGTTTGTGGTCTAGAGATCCTATACATTCATGGGGAAAAGTCTGATTTTCCAAGTCACGATGCAGTGTAATGATAGTAGATCTCAAATGTAATAGGTATAGAAACATACCAACCATATGAGAGGCATAAGCTGAAATGCAGCTATAAGGACAAAAAGAACAACTGTGAAATGGTGTGACAGAATTCAAAATAATCTCACTTACATACCAGTTCTGACACAGGATATGAGGCAGGATCAGGCATCAGAGAAATCCAGGGTATTTAATTGTCCCTCCTGTAATCACTTTTCAAAATAATGAACTATAAAAAGTTCTTCCGTACTACTGAAAATAATTAATTTCCTGGATGTTTGTGCTCTATTGATGCTACTGAGATCCAGCTCGTGATTGGCTTTTTCCTGGTAGTTGTATTTTAGAGGCACACTATATTTCCCTATGGAAAAAGCCTTGAAACATTTATCTGGCAACGAAACAGGGTAGGGGAGATGCACAGAACTGTTTCTTATGCACTGGAAAAAATAATGTCCTAGCTGATGTGAAATAATGCCAAGGAAGTATAAACCTTTTTGGAATGATAGAGATGGTGAAGGGGAAAAAAAAGTATCCATAAAATTGACAGATAAATATTACCTTAAAAGTAGGATTTGAAATAAAGGCCAGCGCCTTAGTGTAACCACCATCTAAGTAAGGAAATAACCACCATGTGAGTAAACATCAAGTTAGGGAGTCAAGGTGGTGGACGTGTGGAACAGGGAGGCAGCAACAATATCTTTTATAAGAGAGTCAATTTCTTCTTCCACTGTGATATAGCATATAAAAGCAGGAAGAGTAAATCACTGAGTTGGCATTTTGCTATAGGCCAGGCTGATGGTCTATGGTTTCAAAACTATTTGGAATTAAAAGAGAGAGAGATGAAAAACAGATGTGACATCACTGGCTGCAAGAATCTTGTTTCTGGCTATGTTTACCAATGTGCCCCTGTTTTCCCTTTTTACATGTTATGTGTATCCTTGGTGATGTTCTGTGTGCCAGACTGTGCTAAAAGCGGCCCAAGTCTTTGCATATACCACAAGTTTGTGTGCTGATGCCTCTGTGTCACAAAGTCAGCAAGGATTACTTAATAAAACTTTCTGAGAAAACCTGGGAAGAGCTTTATGAACTGATGCAAAGTGAGAGCAGAACCATACAGTACATACATACATACATACAATACATATACAGTATATATAATAACAGCAATATGATAAAGATAATCAATTTCAAAAGACTTAGTAACTCTGGTCAATACAATGACCCACCACAATTCCAAAGGACTCATGATGAAACATGCTATCTACCTTTAGATAGAGAACTGATGGACTCAGAGTACAAATTAAAGCTTAGTTTTTCTCTTTTTTCTTGCTTTTGTTTTCCAGAACACAGCTAATTCAGAAATGAATTTTGCATAATTATACATATTTGTAATAGGTTTTGTTTTCCTTGCCCTCTCATTCAGAGATGGAAAGAGGAGGAGAGATAATTTGGAACTTAAAAAAGAATAAAAGAAGGCTCTCTGCTTTAAATAAAAAACCTAAGTCCTTTCCTATTCACTGATTCACATCTGTGTGAATGTGCTAAATTCATGAAATTCTACCATTAACACCAAATAAATAAGGCTCCTAACTGCTTTGAGGAACAATTGCCTAGAAATGTCTAACCCTACTTCCTTACTTTAGAATTTAGGAAAGGATAATCTGTGGTACTGAGAACTATGGGACTAATGTCTTATGGTGACAAGTAAGAAACAAAAAGTATTTGGATTTGGAATTTGAGATTTGTAAAAAAAAAAATGAAAAAAAAAAAAGAAAAAACTGAGTTCTTGGGACTAGATAGTAGAAGACTCCAGATAAATGTATAAAGAGTAATAAGTCTTAAAAATATTCCTAGTAGACTCTAAGCTCTATAACATTAGGAATCATTATCTCATATAAACTTTGAATCTAACAGCATGTATAAAACAATGTAATAAACTATAAGGACAAAATAAATGGTGATTTTGATTTTGAAGATTATCAAATCTGTTCAGACTTAGCTGGAACTGTTCTGTGATTGGAACATTTGTGATTAACAGAGAGGGCCGCTTTAAATATTCTTTACACTTGAAATAACCCTAGAAATGTCCCATATTTATTTGAGATCCAGACAGAAAAGGAAGATAGGAGAGGTCATTTGTTGATTTGGATAAAGGTCCAAAGTATAAAGTTCATATTCCAGGGAATTGGAGCTCTTATCCTTCCTGAGTATGGATCAGGCTGCCCAAATTCATCTCTCCTCCCTGCCCTTTCCTTGAATTCCTCCCTTATTTTCCTTAGCTGAGAATAGTTTCCATTTTCCCCATTTCTCTAAGGCTCCTAGATGTAAGGAATCCTGATTGAGAAAAGTTTGTTCGTTATATATCAACAGGAAAATGTTATTTTACCTGTTCTGAATTACCACCCAGTATCTTATAGATTTCAGATTGTAGTAACATACCTTATCTCATTTTATCCTCACAATAACTTCTAAAGTGATACAAAGTGGAAGTTATTTTCTTGATGTACTGAACATGAACAAGGAGTGATCACCACAGGAATTGATTTCTCACAATGCTTAGGGATGAGAAACCATTGTGGATTGAGAGGAATTCTCTTGACTAAATTTTCTAGATGGTGTATATCTGGCCATGAAGCCCTGATGTTACTAAGCAAGGACTGGTTTTAGGAGTGTTCTGAAAATCTCCAAATTATAAAAGTGAAACAAGAACCAGTGGTCCATTAGAGACGGGGAGGCCAGTAACAAAGCAGGTGAAGCAAGTGAAAGGACAGAACCATCAAGAACAGTTCTGAATTGAAGACACAGATACTGTGTTCAAAATGGACCTTGACCAATTTCCCAATGATGGCAAATTTTTTGAACAAGAGGAAAAGTGTAATGGGGACTGGCCGACAGAAACTTGAGCATGCCTTGGTTTGATGCAATTCTTCATGTGGGCTTCTGAGCATGTGCAAGGGTTCTATAGCTATTAGCTCCACTTCATCAATTGGCTACTGAGACAGATCTGAGCATTCATACAAACGACTATGGGAGAGGTCAGAGGGGGGCTAATGTCAGAGGGAGGGGAAGGAGAAGAGGGAAGAGACTCAAGTTTCTCCTGGCTAGGATTGAAGGAAGACATACTGTAAGTCTCTTCATGGGGAGAAAGGCCTTAGAACCTCCCTACTTAGGCCAACCTGTAGCAGGTAAACACAGAAGGCTTCTAATTTTTGCCTCTGTGTTCTTTGCTGCTTTTAGATGAAGGAAAATTGAAGAGAGCTATAAACTTGTGACCTTTATAAGGTCAAAAGAGCAGAGGTCCACTGACAGGAGTAGTATCTGCCATAATTTTCTGCCTTTCTCTGTCTCTCTGTCTCTGTCTCTCTGTCTCTGTCTCTCTCTCTCTTTCTGTCTCTCTCTCTGTCTCTGTCTCTCTGTCTCTCTCTGTCTCTCTTTCTGTCTCTCTCTCTCTCTGTCTCTCTCTCTGTCTCTTTCTGTCTCTGTCTCTGTCTCTCTCTTTCTCTAATAATTAAATTTCAGTGAAGTCACTTCCTTTCATACTTTCTATCTTGTACCCAGAACTATACTCAGCTGGAGGCAGTTGGAGGTACGGACATAGACAAGCCCAGAAAGGGGTTTTACCTTTAGAAATGAACTCCACTGATGCCCTATTGCCCCTGGAAGAGGTGCAAACACTTCTTTTTGACATTTAGAACTCTTCACAGTCTGACCCCATCCAATCTTTCCAACCTTCTTATATATTGTTTCCTTTCATGCACTTGGTAATCTTTTCCACCTGTGGTTGAGTCATTTTCAGTTTGTCCAACTCTTTGTGACCCCATTTGGGATTTTCTTCACAAAGAAACTAAAATGATTTGCCATTTCCTCCTCCAGCTCATTTTACAGATGAGGAAACTGAGGCTAACAAGGTTAAGTAATTTGCCCAGAGTCACATAGCTAGTAAGTGTCTAAGGCCAGAAGATGTCTTCCTGACTTCAGATCTGGGACTATATTCACTGTGCCACCTAACTGTCCATAGTGCTTTCAAATATTGATCTACTTTTCATTCCTCACACATGATACTCTAAATTTCATTTCTTTGCCTTTACACTGGCAGTTCTCTGTGCACCTGGAATGATATCCTTCCCCTCCTAACCTCTTGGCTCTGCTTATGACTTTCTGGATTTCAACATCATGCCTCAGCTGCAGTTTCACCTGCAGCTTCCATCAGCACCTAGGATGTCCTCACCCTGGACTAGTCCTCTGCCATGGCAGCCCCATCCTTCCATTGATGAGTTTCTCCCAAGGTTTCCAAGCTCCCAAGCTGATCCACCTTCCTTCTCTTCTTGGTTCTGCTCTTAACTTCTGGACTTCTGCAGCATGCCCTGCCTTAGGAACTCCTTCCTCCCTCCCTAAAGTTTTTAGCTCGCTTTTGACCTCCCAAAAATAAATGGAATTGTAAAAGAAGTAATCTCCTTGAGGTCAAAGACTGTCTTTCTTTTTGCTTCTATTTATATCCCCAGGACTTAGTACCATGTCCAGTATACAGCTAGTGCTTAATAAATGCTCATTGCCTTGCCTTAAAATCCCTGGTTTCTTTCAAGACTTAGATCAAACATGACATTCTAAAGGTGATTTTGCCCCAGCCTCCCAGCTGTTATTGTCTCCTCCTCTGAGGTAGAACTGCCGTTTATTTTGTATGTATCCTGCCTGTACCTAGGCTGTAAGCTCCTTGGAGGCAGGAACTGTTTTTTTTTTTTTCCCAGTCCTTAGCATAGTGTTCAACACATAGTAAGCATGAGTAAATACTTCTCATTCACCTTGAATAAGCACATTAGACTCTCCCTCTTGAACCACTCTGGACTCTTGTAAGTAGGTTTTTACCTTATCTTGCCTGGAACCAGCCATCATATCATTTCCCAGCTACTATTTCCAAACCATGCTGCTAGGTGTACACTAACTCCTCCTTATGTATTGTCTTCCCGCATTAGAATATGAGCTCCTTGAGGTCAGGGACTATATTTCTTTTTTCTATCTGTAGCACCAGTGCTTAGCATAATGTCTGACAAATAATAAGTACTTAAATGTTTTATCATTCATCATTCATTCCTTGTTCATTGACTGATTCATTGGGAGCCAAGTTGCTGGGTCCATGGATCTAATAGACCGTCCAGTAATATTTTTGCCTTTGTTACTGGTGTATAATGCCCTCATGTAATGTATTCTTGAATTAGAGATGCATTAATAAGTCACACGGTCAATGATATAAAAAGTGAAAGGAGCCAGGAGGACGGAGAATATGAACTATTGATGTGAATGAATTATCTACACCAAACCCTGGACTCCTGAGAGGAAAGTGTCACCACCAAGAAAGGGACAAAGCTAAAATATATACCTTTTCTATAGACAGAGCAAAGCATAGGGATGTTGGTGGCTTTGTCAGAGTGCCCTCAAGTGTTGAGTAGTGCACATGACAAATGGAGCTGAGCTGTGGGGCTGAACAGAAAAAAAAATCAGGCATTTGTTATAGTGACCAATCGTGTCACACTCATTTGAAAAAGAATTATAACCAGTACTTGCTTTGGATATGTCATTCCACAATCTTGCTGCCCTTTCCATGCCTTTCCATCAATAAGGCAGTATTCAAATGACCCTTACATGCGTCATCCCTGGGTCCACCTGTTTCAACACTGGAATAATGATCCGGTTTAAAAAAAAAGTAACCAGAAATCTGAATACAGATGAACTTCCAAGTTCCTGGTGATCTTCCATTAGTTGAAGGGCTGGCCAAAATGACCATAAAGCATCTTTTGATCTTCTTCAACAAAGTCCATCATCTGATTTCCCTAGATCTCACAATCTTCTTTGTCAATTTTTTCAAAGCCAACTTCATGTCCTTGTTCCTCAGTGTATATATGGCAGGATTCAAGAGTGGAGTGACAAGAAAGCAAAAATGTATCCAGTGACAGAGTGGGAACTTGCCCCACATAGACAAAGAAGCAGGGAACAAAGAACAAGACCACCACCATGATATGAGCTGAGAGGGTGGAGAAAGCCTTGGACAAACTGGCTGAAGAGTGATGTCTGACGGTAATCAAAATGAAAATGTAGGAGACAATTAAGAGAAAGAAAGTGCCCGTGGAGAGAAGCCCGCTGTTAGCAGTGACCACGTACACCAACCAGGCAGTATCTGTGCAGGCAAGTACTGCAACCTTAGGGATGTCACAATAAAAGCCGTCAACCTTATTAGGGCCCCAGAAGGGCAAATTTACAACAAAAACAAGTTGAGACGAAGCATGGATCACCCCAATCACCCAGGCAATCACTACAAAACAAACGCATGTTTTGTGGTTCATAATAGCCAGGTAGTGAAGAGGCTTACAGACGGCTTTGGATCTGTCATAGGCCATGGCTACGAGCAGGACCATCTCAGTTCCTCCCATAACACGGATGAAGAATATCTGCATCATACAACCTGGGAAGGAGATGACTTTGTGTTCGCTAAAAATGTCAGTGATCATCCTTGGGACCATAGTAGAAGACAGACCAAGGTCAACAAAGGAGAGATTGGCTAACAGAAAGTACATAGGGGAGTGCAAATAAGAATCAAAAATCACAGTGAACACAATGAAGAAGTTTCCCAGCATAATTCCCACATAAAATGAAAAGAAAAAGAAAAAGAGGAGAATCTTCATCTCCCAAGAAGCAGACAGTCCCAGCAACACAAACTCAGATACCACAGAGTTGTTTGCTCCATCCATTGACTCAGTTGATATCAAAGATGCTGAAAAGACCTGAGGATGAAGAACAAGGAAAAAATCAGAAGCATGGGGACAAAAACTACATGTACCATTGGCCTCATGAGAGACTTGAGAAGGGCCCTGTTTGAAGTGTTGGTAATGCAAAAGGCTAGAAGGGGAAAAAAATAGCATATGAGAAGCAATGGTCACATGTTCAAAGTATCATAAATTTAGAACCAGAAAGGATCCATACAGATCATCTAGAGCAGGGTTCAGCAAACAAAAACCCTCAAGCTAAATTTCTCTGCCTGTTTTTGTACTGCCATGGTTTTTACATAAAAAAATAAAGCTTTATTTAAAAACTTAAAAGAGTTTTATTGCACTATAAAATGTAAACATATTTCTTAGTTCATGAGGCAGGCAATGGGAAGGATTGGCCCATAGGCCACAGTTTGTCAACCTCTGATCTAAACTAACCCTCCAATTTTATAAATGAAGAAGCTGAAGTTCTTTGAGGTTGAGTGATTTGCTCAAGGATACATAGCTAGTAAACACCAAAGACAGGATTTAAATCCAAGCCATCTTGACTCCAACTCCGGCATCCTATCCACCAAAACAAAATGCTTCTGCTGTCAAGGAAGTTGAAGAGATGAAGAACACTGAAGCAGTTAGAGAAAAAGAAAAGCGAGCATGGAAGATAAATGAGAATACAGCAGACAGAAACAAAGAACAGGAAGTAGAGTTACACACTTTTTCAGAGTAGTTACATAAGAGGCAACTTTAGCATAAAATGGAATGTACTAAAAAATCAAGAGATTGGGTTCTTCAGGTGACACTATTCACCAGTTATCAGTTATCTCTTCATTGCCAAACTTAATGGCTTTTTCTCAAACCTTCTCATCTTTGAGCCCTCAGTAGCCTTTGACACTGTTCTCCTGGATACCCTCTCCTCTCCAGGTTTTTGCAACACTGTTCTCTCCTCATTCTTCTCTTATTTGCAACATTCTCCTTTAGTGGATCTTCATCTAGGTCATTCCCACTAATCATGAGTGTCCTCTCTTCTCCTCTCTCTGTATGTCTCACAATGTCTTGGTGATCACTTGGTGATCTATCAACCTAATGAATTCAATTTTCATATCTGTGCATATTGATCATGTTGATTCCCAGATCTATTTATCCAGCCCACACCTCTCTGCTGAGCTCTAATTCCATCACCCAAATGTCTCTTGGACATCTCAAACTGTATGTCCTATAAAGTCTCAAACTAAATATGTGCAAAACAGAATCATCTTTCCCCAAAAACCCTTCCCTCTTCCCAACTTCCTTGTTCTCGTTGAGAGTGCTACCATCCCCCCAGTCATTCAGGCTTTCACATCAGTGTCACCCCTGACTTCTCACTCTCATTTACCCTGCAAATCTAGTCTGTTGCCATGTCTTATTTTTCCTACTTTGACAACATCTCTAGCATACCTTCTCTTCTTTCCATTTACACAGCCACCATTCTGTTACAAGTCTGCATACTTTGATTTTCCTACTGTGCAGACCTGACCATGTCACCTCCCTACTCCTTGAACTCCAGTGTCTTCCTAACACCTTCAAAATCAAAGGTAAAGTGATCTTTTGGGATTTGAAATCTTTTCAAAACCTGGCCTCTTTTTACCTTTCCAGTCTTCTTACTCTTCACTCATCTCCCCACCCAAGCACTATATGATGTAACAACACTTTCTGTTCCTAGCACTTTATGCTCCATCTCCTTATGCCATGCCTTCTCACTGGCTGTTCCTCCGGCCTGGAATTCTTTCCCTCCTTATTTCCACCTATCTGCTTCCTTGGCTTCCTTCAAGTCTTAGCTCAAGTATCATCTTCTCCAGAAAATCTTTCTAAGTCTCTTTCCCCTTTCCTACTGAGTTATAGATATAGATAGATAAATAGATATGCAGATAGAAATAGATTGCTAATTCATTATTACCCTTCATACTCGAAGAGGACCAAAATGACATCACAGTGTTGGGGTCAATATACAGTGGGTCCAACTGTGGCTGATTAGACCAAGATGAGCTTTTAAGGCTCTACCACAGGATAGCCACAATAGTCCATATGAACATTTGGGATGGAGAAGTCTCTAAATTTGCACATATTCACCCACACTGACATTCATATCCTTTGCAAACAGTGATGGGATTTAGAGCTGGAAGGGACCTAATTAGAAGAATCATCTAATCCAGTCCTCTCAAATTTTATAAATGAGCACACTGAGTCAAAGAGAGGTTAAAAGACTTGTCCTAAGTCATACATGCAGTTAATTTCTCTCCACGCTGCACTTCTGACTCTCCCAAATTTATCTATCATGCCACTAAAAAAATAAATAAATAAAATGCCTCTTCACTCTGGAAGCTCACTCTACTCCTGGACTTCACACATTGGAAATATCATCAACCCTTTAGCCTTTCCCTCTGATTTGGTGGCCTTTTCATTGTTTCTCACATATGGCATTCCATCTCCCATATCCCATCTCCATGTCTTCAAACTGGCCATCCCCTGTGCTGAGAATGCGCTCCCTCATTATACCTACTTTATAGAAACTCTATCTTGCTTCAAGATGTAGTTCAAGTACCTTATTCCATATGAAGTCTTTCTTGTTCCCCCCAACTACTCATGTCCCCCTTCCCTTCTCTCCTCTGACACTGGTACCACTCTAGTAAAGAACCTCATCACTTCATGCCTTGATTATTAAAATAACCTATTTCTGGGACTACCTGCCTCAAGTCTCTTCCCACTCCAATCCATCCTTTATTCAGCCACTAAAGTGATTTTCTAAAGCATGAGTCTAATTATGTCACTCCCTACTCAACAGACTCCAGTGGCTCCCTCTTGCCTCCAAGATCAAATACAAAATCTTTTGTTTGGCATTCAAAGCCTTTCAGAACCTAACCTCTCCTACCTTTCCAGTCTTCTTAAAACTTTACTTCCTGACATGTACTCTGATCTAGTGACACTAACCTTCTGGCTGCTCCACAAACAAGACATGCCATCCCTCTGCTCTGTGCATTTTCTCTGATTGTCTCCCATGCTTGGAATGACCTCCCTCCTCTGCTATGACTATTGACCTCCTTAGCTTCCTTTACATCCCAACTAAAATCCCACATCTTTTTTTTTAGTTTTCAACATTCACTTTTATAAGATTTTGTGTTCTAAATCCCCCCCCCATTCTCCTCTCTCCTCCCCAAGATGGAATGCAATCTGATACAGGCTATACTTTTACAATCATATTAAACCTGTTTCTACATTAGTCGTGTTGTAAAAGAAGGATCAGAACAAAAGGGAAAAAGCAGCAGCAAGAAAAAACAAAAAAGAAGAGAATATCATGCTTCAATCTACATTCAGACTGCATAGTTCTTTCTCTGGATATGGATAGCATTTTCCATCGTGAGTCTTTTGGAATTGTCTTAAATCATTGCACTGCTGAGAAGAGCTAAGTCTAACAAAGTTGGTCGTCACACAATGTTGCTATTACTGTGTACAATGTTCTCCTGGTTCTGCTCACTTCACTCAGCATCAGTTTATCTAAGTCCTTCCAGGTTTTTCTGAAGTCTACCTGCTCATCATTTCTTACAGCACAATAGTATTCCATTACATTCATATACCACAACTTGTTCAGCCATTCCCCAATTGATGGGCACCCCCTCAATTTCCAACTCTTTGCCACCAGAAAAAATGAGCTCTCAACTTTCAGGGACTGTGCAATGAATGCTGAGGTAGTTAATGGAGCTGGTGGCTAAACAAGTAAAAGAATCTCCTTATGGGTATAAACCCCAGCCTCTGACCTGAGATCCTGGGTCCTGCTGAAATAGAGTCATAAGACCAGAGAAAGAGAAAAGAGTTGGGGAAGACATTGGGGAACTCCAACTGTAGACAGTAAATCTTCAGGCTATATACTGCTCCCAGGAGGAGAAGGGTGTCTCTCAACCTCGAGGGGGCAGGGGCAAGGTGGAGCCTCACCACCAAGCAGCTGCCGCATTTACAGGAGATGTTCAAACAGAAACCTGAGTAGCCCCAGGAGCAAAGGACAATGAAACTAATGGCTCAAGAGTCTCATAAAGCCAATGATAGAATGATCTCTGCTAGGGACTTTGAAACCCTGGAGGAACGTTCTAAGGACCTACTTTTATACAGTCAGCTGCATCTATGAGGGAGGGGGTAAAGTTCTTAAAGGAAATGGATTTGACAATTCTGATTTATACAACACACACACACACACACTTTATTCAAGCTAAATCCAGGACAATGAGCTCCCACCTCCTGAGTGCAGCCCCGCCAAATGACTTCAGATTTTAGCTGTTGGTTGCCCACGTACACACACCACACAACCACACAGATGTGAACTGATTAATTGATGCAATTCTAGCAGGAGGTTGGGACACTTGTAGCTTGGACAAATACTGCTGTCAGTTCAAATTGGCATTCTGGGAATGGAGGGAGGAATTATAGAGCCCTCCACCCTGCTAGGTGGGCAGAGAATGATGATACCATCCCTAGAGAGTTTTGGGTATGGCTTCTGAAATATGGGGTTCATAAAACTGTGCAGAGAAACCCAGCAGCTAAGCCTTAGAGGGCTTTCAGCCCCACTCAAGTCTGAGGTGTCATCTAAATCCCTTTCTTCATTTGGATTACTCAAAACAGGCTGCAGAGAACAGTCTGTGGAGGGAAGGAGTATTATGGGCTCATTATCTGTGTGGGCCTTTTTAGCATGTTACTGTGGGTAGGATCAAATGGAAACCTTTAGTTGTCCAAAACATCTACAATATTGGGTCTCAAAGAGGATGAAAGATATTTCTTCTCTAGTGATGTAGTGATGGAGATGAAGGAAGCTGCATCAGGGAAATTCTGTTCCTATCATATAAATCTCCCCTAACACATCAAAGGATAGAATGGAAATTAACTCCTCTGGATATAACCCCCCTCATCTCCATATGGAAACATCTCTGGTCAGCAGGTCAACAGAGTATGGCAACTCCCATGGT